TCTGCCTCTGCTGGTTTGAGTCAGGTATCATGGAGTCAATCTTCCTTTTCCAGGAGTAAGGATCTAGGGAGGACAAAGGGAATGAGGAAAGCTTCAAAGATTTCCAAGAGTATGGATCAAAGAAGAAGCAGGATTTTAAAGAAAGGACATTCGTATAAAGTGGTGCATTTTAAGAAAAAAAGAACTATTGCAGTCTCTGTTATCTGTCCATAAAACAGACAGCTTAAACTGACAATAATAAAACTATCCTGAGATACAAAACTTAGGAGCAATTGGAAGTTCAGAAGAAAAAAGAAATGAAGCTTTCAGAAGGGTAAGGCCATCTTGGCTGGAATTCAATTAACAAATTCAGTATAAATATATAAAACACTTCTAAACAAATCTGAGAGCAACGGTCCCATAAAAGGGGCATTCTTGGTACACGTATCTATTTCCATTCAAATCAATGCAAGTTGCTGATACATGGAGGGCAGCACTTCATTCCAGTTCCAATCAAGGATCTAATAGTCTGGCTAAAGATACTCACTTCCAGAGCTCATCCCCAAATGCTAGACTCATATTTCACTATTCCCAATATCGTAGTGAGATGCAGCCTTCCTCTGAGACTGGAACACAATAACTGAATGTGGAAATATTTAAAGATTTTAGAAGAATGTTTTAGGACCCAAACCATACTGTAAAATGGGAAAAATAAAAAGTATCCTTTTAGAAATCCTAGGTACAAAGGAAAGAGAAAATAGGATGGAAAGAAAATATTTTTAAAAGTTCAATCTTAACTGTTGTTGCTGGGGGAAGAGAAGGGGAATAGAAAGAGGAGGGAGGGAGCCATCTGCGAGAGGTAACTGGGAAATACTACTGGAGAGATCTCACTAATCAAATGAAAAGCTCAAAAAACATGAAGATTCAATTTAGCAAGTGCCACAAATATACTCTCCAAGCCATTGCTCTTTTACTTCTCTAAAAAAAAATCTAAGTGGAACCTGTTGTGGATAGATCATCTTTCCTTATAAGAAATATACTCAGTGTTTTAGGAAGATCCTGATAATAGTCACGGGTTTGGAAGGAGATAATCAAATCCAGCATGCCTCTTTTCAAAGATAAAGAAACTTAAGCCCAGAGGCACTTGTTTTCAGTCATTTAGCAAAGGAACTTTAGTCCAAATCTCCCAATAACCAGGTCAGAGCTCTTTCCACCATACTATACAACCTTGAAATTAGGAGAGTTGGAATAAGAATTGTACTCTTGCCTAAGCAGAACAAGAAGAGGGGAAATGCTATACGAAAAGTCCATAAAAAGTTCAACAGCTGTTCACCATTCTTAATTACATGGTGACAGACTCAACTAATCAAGTCCTCTCTTCCTCATATGTCCTACATGGGAGCTAACAAATTTTGTATACTCAATACATGTTAAGACTTCAACTGCTTCAAAGTATAACAAAACCTTAAACATGTTTCCTAAGTCCCCAGCACCAATGAATTTGTCGCTTTATAAATATCACGGTGAACAAGAAATGCTGTCTTGTCACATTCAAGCCAAATAACAGCTGGACTTTAAAAATAAAATTTTGAAGGCATTTGCCTTTTATATTTTTAATTTCTGTTTTCCTTGCCTATGGTTTTGTCATTTGATTTTGATGAGTGGTTAATACACAGGCACAGCTGCCTCTTTGGGTGACCTTTTCCCCACTGCTTCCATGCTCAGGGTTATGAAGCAGGTCTACAAGTTGCTTACTAAGTGATATTGTCATTTGCACGGCTGGCAGACTTTTTCCTGCAAAGCCTGGCTAAAGCAGGGCTTCTTCTTCTGGGCTGACTTACGTTAGTCACTTCAGATGCCCTGCAGGAGGATGAGGTAGAAGTGGAGGGAGGGAATAGCCCTTTAAAATTTCCGTTCCAAAGCCAGAGGAAACCGGCAGATCATCATGAACGGATGGAGAAAGAGGACATCCTAGGCTAGAGGCATAGAACACACCTCAGTTCAGCTTTCCCAAGTAACTTTCACACAGAATCCTCCGCAGAGCACAAAAGAGTCCTGATCTGAGCCCTTTCCTCCAGATAATTATGTATGTACCTTCCCTTTCAATCATCTGTCTTCCCTCACTAGACCATGTGCTCTAAGAGGTAGGGGATATCTCTGTTTTGCTTCCCATAGATTATCCAGGGTCTAGTTCAGTTCAGGGACTGGCACTCTGTGGGCACTCAAGAGATGTTGGTTGTTTGGTTTTCTGGGACCACAGAGTGAGTGAAGGAGCGAACACACTTCTTAGTTATTCTGATACTTCAGTTTCTTCTTCATCTTACCGTGAAGGGAATTACGAAGGAGCAAAGCAGAGAAAGTGTTATGTGTACCTGTTATCTACTCTAATATGAACTGCAACTCCAGCAGGCTTTGCAATCAGCCCATACTTGAACAGATGCCAGGAAATACCCTGAAGTCAGCAGAAGGCTGCTGCCCATCCCAGCAGTCCTCACAAAGGCACAGCGCTTCTGTCGGTATTAGAACAGGTAACCTGACTCCATTCATGAACTCACACCCCCAGAAGCACATGAGGTCTCAATGGCAACTCTGGGCAAGCATCTGAAGGGAGGTTTTCACACGCTCCCTAAGCCCCTGGGCCACTACAGGACTTCTACTGTTACGCTCATCAGGCATTGGCGCTATGTGTGACACAGTAACATGAGAGCTGGTGTACTGCATGATCTGCTATATTTAGGGGAGAGGAAATGGGCCATACTGAGGAAGGTCACAAGGAGTTTGTTCCGAAAAACCAAGGTCCCATATGTTGATCTGTATGTGCGGTGGGGGGCAGCATGGCAGGCTGCTTGGGATCACATCTCAGCTCTATCCTTATTAACTTTGTGGCTCATAGCAAGTTACCTAATTTCTCTCTGCCTCAATTTTCCCACCTGTAAAACAGAAAAATAATAATGCCTTCTTTACAATGTGCATAAGGATTAAATGAGAAAATGTGTGCCTAAAGTTTAACACACCCTTCGGCATATAAGTGCTTGATAAATGTATGTTTAAAATAAAAGTAACCATGAAAATTGGCTTGAATCTAGACGATCTGGATATTTAATGGAATTTCCAAAGATATTTCTATACAATATGTTTCTCTACAGTTATGTTTTTAACTTTGTATAATCATTAATGACTCTGACCATGAATTTTAACTTAACAAGCACACGTATTATTAACTAGATTATAGCAACTGACTCTATTTACACCCAATATGCAGTTCAGAAAGCAAATAAAAAAGAACGAATGACAAATTTAAAAAAGTCTGGAAGAATAAGGGTAAGATGATGGAGCTCTGTAACTCCTAGTCTGTTGCCAACTAAGCAGAATCAATACTCCAGGGTAATGAAAAATATTTATTTCATTACATATGGTCAACAGTTCAGACACTCTACAGTACAATCTTCCAGCAAAATTGAGATGGGCCAGACCTGAAACCAGTCACAGTCGCTGTGTTGCAGGCAGATGGTTAACTATGCAAGTCACATCATTGGGCTTCCTGGCTCCCTAGATAGAGGGAACTCAGCACTTAACCAGTAGAAATCTTGCACTTCTAAGTAACTATGGAAATAATGTGCTGTGGGTACACATTCATCAAGGAAGGTAGCAAGTGTACTTCTAGTTTTGAGTCCTCTTTATCCTTGCCAACCTGCCCATCTTCCTCTTCCTCTTCCCCTCCCTTCCCTTCTTTTCTTTTCCCTTCCCCTCCCTCCCTTTCCACCTACATGCACAGACCAATCAGAATTTATTTTAACACCTTGTCCCCAGCACTGTCATCAGACATTAGTCTTTCCTACTGGTATGAACAATCTGTCTTCTGGAAACTTTCTGAAGTGCTTCCTAATGTCCGACACTACCCACCTCTTAGTGCTCATTCCAGAGATTTCTGAGCTGCCTGGGATGGCCCCAAGCTATCACTAGAAGCCATGCCCAGTTCAGTTGCTACTATGGAGTACCTTCGTGTGTTTTAAAGGGATTAGGATCCTGGAAGAAATCCTGCCAGTAAAAGGGATACTAGTAAGAGTCTTCTCCTTAAGCTAAAGAAGGACTTTAGCTGGGACCTGAGATGGGTGAAGTATCACATTCCCTGAAGAGAACAAATTAATCTTCCCTGACTGGTGGGGCAGATTCTGCCAAAGGAACAGCTAACGGGAAAACCAGCCCCTACTCTGTGATGACACAGTAAATAACCAGGGAACATTACTACCGAAGTGCTGACCTAACTCATAAATCGTACCCAGACTCTGGGGAGCAATTTCTGCTGATGTGCTGCTTGTGCATTTAAAACAAACAAACAAAAAGGGAAGAAAAGTGAACAGGCATCGGAAGGGCTGTGGGTAAACATTCTGAGAGCAAGGCTGGTTTCCACTTAGACTTTCAGAAGACCTTAGTAAAGGTTAGTGTGCAGAATAGGCTGGGCCTTCCCCAAGCAATTATTAAGTTTATACTAAATCTGAGACAAACCATCATTTAATTTCCAAAGTGCTTTGACTACACCTGGGAATCACTTGATTTGGAAATTCTGGTTGCTCTGATGTGATCATTCCATAATGTATACCTCGTACATGTATCAAAATCACTTTATACCCCATAAATACATGAATTATATTTCAAATTAAACACAAAATTGAGTTTTTGAAAAGTCCTCCTGTGTATGTTTTTCTTTTTTAATAAGAATGCAATAAGGTCGATAAAACAGAATTCTGTTGTTAATTGAAATATAGAGGGTCCTTTTATTTTAAAACTTTAAGAGGGTACCTTGAAACACTTGGATTGCTATATGTTCAGTATATAGAATCTAGCTGCTTCTCAAAGTCCTCTACTATATTATCTAATGAAGACTAACATTTCCTCTGCTTTGTCTAGAAAAATCTAGCTGGTGACTCCCAGGAAAGACCGACCATAAAGAGCCTATGCCTAACTCAGACACACCTTCGGAAAACGGAGCCGCAGTAAAGAGCTGGAGAAAAGTCACTCACCCTCTGCATCTTCCGGCCGAGTGAGATCGATGACACCGGGGCCCAGCTTTCCATCTTCACTTGACTTTCCTGTTAACTGGGGCCCCAAATTCTCAAAGCGCGTTCTTTCCTAGAAGAAAGAATAATCAGAGGCTTATTCTCACTTCCAAAGCAGTCACTTTTCCCTTCCAGTTTCTATCTTGCTTAGTGGGCAAAACATGGATTTACAAGCATCATTTCTGACCAACTTGGGCTCTGAAAATCTTTCAAGAAGATTCTGCTAAAGCTCACGTGTGACACTAACAGCGCTGACAGCATCTAAACCATAGTACCTGTAAGGAAAGAAAACCCATCACAGGGAACCTGCCAGAGCTGCTCTGCACACCTCCTCTCTGCTGGATTTGCTCCAGCAATCTAAAAGGAATGCAAGAGAGAGAGTTGAGCCAAAAATGCAAACACTTGAAAGAGCAGTTCCTATTAAAATGACTGCTAAATCTAGTGGGAGAGGAATTTTCCCACCTAGTGATCATCGTTTGTACTGGTATCCCTGAGAAAATGCAAATCAGAATTTTGTGCACAAGGTCTGCAAAAGCAAATATTTCAAAGCAGACCAACCAGATGATGGCATTGATACTATTATTTTGCCTCAAAGTTTCAACTGTGACTTCCTGGAAACTGAAAGGGAGGACATCACTCCTAGCCAGCCACTGAGCCGGGAGAGCTAAATACCCCTGCTGCTCTAGGAGGGAAACCCAGAGATGTCTTGCTTGTTCACCAGTTCCAGGAGCAGGAGTCTGAAGCCCCACAGTGCACACTGCCTCTGCAGCTCTCTGGATCAGTAGCGGAGGGCTCATTGACCATCATTAATATGGTGTTCTTGTCGGCAGAAACACAGTGCATGGCCCCCTCTCGCGTCCTCGCTACTCTCCAGACTCAAACTTGGCTTTGTGTTGTGCTTATGAATGAATGAAACCTTGTTGTTCATTACTATGAAACAATATTAAATGTCATGTCAGCTTGAATTTACAGACATGAAATAGCAGCTTCCAGCTCCGGGAATGGTTTCTGCATGTTATACTTAATGCATTATGCAGCAGTAGAGTGCTGATTGCTGTTCAGTCTATTGTTCAATGACCTAGTTCTGTACTGAGCATGTTCGGCATTAGATGGAAACACTCCGAGTGTTCTCTTCTGTAAGATGTTTAGAAACTTGGAAATATTCTTAAAGAGCAAACATACAATTACTTGATAGAGGCTGTGCCTCATTTGTACAGTCTTACTACATTTGTGTTTTCTAATATGATTATTTTTGAATATCATTATATTTCTATAATTAATTCCCATCAGTCAAATTGTGCAGGAAGTCTTCTAGTTCCCCTTCATCATGGAATATGTTGAAATCTGTGTTGGAAGAAAACACAGTATAAACCTTGCTTTAATCTACATCGTTTCTATGAAAGATTTGCAACAAAAATTATATCGTGAATTTCTCCAACTGGGTAATACTAACTAGTTTCAGCAGCAATATGTGGGGTAACCTCTGAAATATGACACGTAAAAAAACGGAGAGAAAATAAAAACCAAGTTAAGCATGGTTCCCTAATATCTTCTGATGTGAAAACACTGCGGCACAGGAACAAATTAACCCAGACGCAGGACACAACAAAAAGCAACCACAAGCCATGTGGGAGTTTCACACATTGTCGGGGGAAGGACAGCTGCTTTCAATCAGCCAATTTCTATTTTTGAGTAGCACTTTTGGTTGTTATGATGTAAAGAAAAAGAATTAAAGTGAAGATGGGTAGTACCAGGGAAAGCAAAATATTCAACCTTTGTTTTATCACATTGTTTCGCATTTCAAATATTTGCATGTGAATGCATTCCCTATGTTAAATGCAAAAGGAGTTTTGATGTGACACCTGCAATCTTCTTGGAAGAACAACCTTTAACTGTATTTTCATAGGGGGAAAAACAACTTTCTCTGAAAATCAACAGACCGTGCTACCTATCAATATGCATATTTCAAGTATCTTTCTAGTCATTCATTCTCTTTGATTTTACCAGAAAATATTCTCAGTAAAAAAATAAATAAATAAATAAAGTTCCTGAAAGAATATCAATATTTTGACAAGGAAGGAGAAGAGGGAAAATTACATGCCATGGTTTGTAAAATTCTAAGACAACAAAGCTTACATGATGATAATATCTTTTCTTTTATAAAAAAATGAAGTGCACTCACAATTCAGTAGTATCAGCTTGTTTTTAATCATAACAAAAAACATTCAGAACATTCAGCAACACATTCACAGTGTCTTTGAAGTCTTACATTTTTCTGACTTCATTGAAAAAAAAATTCTTCTGCAGAGATACTTTCCCTATAAAATATCAATATTTTGACAGAGTAGAAGTCAAGGAAAAATATCCCACGAAACACTTGTTAAATAGGAAGAATATAAATCAATGACAGAAATTGTTTTGGGCAGTGGGTTGCATCTTAAATTTGGTAATTTTAAGCACTTGTATTTGAGATTAAAGAAGGACCCTGCAAAGCCATGCCCTTTCATATAAATTTCTACCTAGTCTCCCAGAAGATTTCCTTTTTTTCTTCAAAGAATAGCGCAGAATATTTATTTGCCAGCCACATAACCATAAGATAAGAGGGCCTGATGTCTACAAGTTACGTCTGGGCAGCTGAGCTAAGCAACGATTTCACCAGTGAGGTTGAACATGAGCCTAGTAAATACAGGATGTGGACGTGGGCACAGAGAGAAGAAAAAGATACTTTGGTTCCAAGAAGCGTAAACTTCTGGCTATTAAGCACCAGTGGGCATGCTCCTATATGGAACAAATATAGACTGTGGATGGCAAGTTCTTAGTCTAAGTTCCCCACACACTTGAACTAGCGCTCACAATGTACACAATGTACAATGTACACAGCTTCCAAGTAAGACATGCTGGACATATCTGCAAAATGCCTCAGTGAATCCCAGCCCCCCAGGAAAATTTCCCAATCTTCATGTTGACAGTGAAATGTGCATTTTACATGCAGCAATGTGATCAGACACTTACTTATGCATTGTCAGTCACAAACATACAGGCAACATAAAAGTTATTGAAAAAAATTAAAGTCAGCTTTGCTGTGTTGTAGGACTGTTGGCTCTCTAAGTGCTTTGAAATTATGATGTATGAGGTAGATGTTGCATATTAAATAAAGATATTTAAATGATAAAGCCCCCTTTAGTGAGAGCTGATGAATGTTAAATGTTACAAGCCAGAAGACGGTAGCATCCATCATCTTCACATATTATCAGAGTCAATGACGGGGCAGCCTCACTGATGACAGATAGACTGTTTCATTATTAGCCCTTATTTCCAGAGTCACTGAACAAACCATTCAACTCCTCAGGCATTATTTTTAACTTTGCATTAAATTAGCAACTTTTCCCTCCCTACCAAGGCAAGATTGATCAATTTTGCCTTTGCATGGGTGGAGAGAGAATGAATTTGGGGTATCTAAAAGAACAGAGGTTTGTCTTCATCTAGGAAAAAAAAATAAACTTCCTCTTACTGGCAACAAATATAAAATTGTGATCTGGGGAGAGAACAGCAATGAAACAGTAAGCACACAATAATGGCTTTTCTTTGCACTTAGATAAAAGCTGAATTTTTGATGTGCACAGTATATTTTAATAAAATTTTATATACTATGTTTTATACACTTATTGGCTATTCCATAATAATGTGTGTGCTAACAGTAAAATTGCTCTTAAATTTATGTGTGTTATTTATATGTTCCCACGTAACAATGCTTTTTGTTGTAAAAAATATTCTGTTTATTAATGTAACTTTACAACCACTGCATCCAAGATCCGTGGTAAATTAATGACATTTTTATTATTTTATAGTGTCATTAAATTTTTACTGATCACTCCATCAAACAGAGGCAGTAAAGGCCATAATGTAAACTGGGACACTTAGATCAGGCAGCAGGAAGACATTCCATATAGTCTGAAGAAAACTGCTAGCAATAAATGATATTTATACCATCTTTAAGCATGTGAGAATACTTGGATAAGTTTGGCAAAACTGTTTCAGTAGTAGAGTGGATTGTGTACTTAAATAACAGTTTGCTGCCAGCGAGACAAGCCTTTTTCAAACCATATGCAAGATGACTGACTGCAGCCATCGCCTGAAAAACAACATGGGAAATGTAACGATGTGCCGGGTTCTTCCCTTCTTCCTTACCAAGATGACCAGCCCATGCCATGCCTCAAATTATTTCAACATGGTCCCTTTTTCTACAAACTGAAGCAGAAACCGGCACACGCTGAGAGAGGCTTTTTGTTTGCTCTTTACAAATATATTTCATTTAAGTACACATGTCTGGAAAATGATGTGATATATTTTATTCCAACGGTCTAAATGAAAGGTACTTTACCATCTTTATTCAAAGGTTCATTTCTAAAGGATATTTTAATATGGGGTCATTTATAGTGGCCACAGAGAACACAACAAGGGGCTATTACCTAAACTGTAGTCAAAATGAGAAAAAAAATTATTGTATTTTTATTTTCATATGTAAAATACATTATAATTAGGATACTCTCTACACTTACTCTCTTAAATAAACCTAAATGTGTGTTATTAACTAATTGCTAAATATTCTATTTATGTATCTAGAAGACAGTAAATAGAAAATTCTATGTTCATATAATTACAGATTTAGATGCACCTAACTCCTACATGGGGATTCTGCTATGATTCTTTTTTAAGTAAATAAAAATTTTGTTGTTAGAGCCTAAAATACACATTTATTTATTAAAATTTTAAAAAAATCTTTCAAATTTGTAATGATAAGGAATTTTGCAGGGAAGGTTAATACTGCGGCCCCACCAGTCATGATTTCCGTGTATTCCTAAAGCAGAGTTTTCTAAGAGAAATAACAAATATATGTATTATGAATAGATATTCTCTGAGGCCACGATGATACTCTGAGATATCATCTCCCCTCAAAGTTTCAGCTATGTCTATGTTATAAAGTGCCAGTCAAATAAGTGTTGTCATTTTCATCACAGCTCCTAGCCTCAATTTTTCGGAACATTTGATTTCCACTTATATATTTTAGTGTAT